GCGTGCTGTAAATTGCCTCCAACATTGTTCCTGTTTGTCCTTGCTGGAGGCTGCCATTTTGCTGAAGCCCTGAGCAGCAGTAAATCTTAAGGATGTCAACAGATTGGCCTCTACAAATTTGGCACAGTGCCTAAAAACAGAGAGCAAATGAGCATGTGCAGAGCAGGGTGAAACAGCGTATTTCTGGATTTTAAACAGTATATGCACTTATTTTTCATGTTTTATATAGCTATACCTGCAAAAGTGGCCAGCCTGAAGTGATCTAGCAGGATTAATTTCTGACTAAAGTTCCACTTTAATCTATGTCATATTCATCTGTACCTGAGTTATCAAAATTCAAAGAAGCCAGGTTCCTGAGGCTTCTCACAAAGGTTCATGTGATTCTGTGCTCTGGGTCCTCTCTCTCATAACCTGCTGTATGAGGCTGGATTGTGAAGGAGGATGTGCACGAACCAATGCATTCTTGCATGCTTAGTACCAGGGCCTTTCAGAAAATAAAGATACTAGCAACTAAAGGTGTTTCAACCTTAAGAGGGATATGCTGCACAGGATAAATTCCGGGATGAACATATATTAATTCAGCAGAAGAAATTTGCATCCTATGACAAAGTTTAAATGCAATATTGCCATGTTTGATTAGTCTCACTTTGTCCAGGGCAGTCTCTCTTTTTCCATGTAGCAGGATCTTTGGGTCTGTCTTTCTCTATGGAGGACCCCTTACACTTTGCCCTAAACACAGATGTGGGTAAGTGGGAGTCCCATAAAAATTAAGCTGCCCAGGAGACTGCATGGAGAGAGATATGCAGGCTGAGGGGGAGATCCATGAACCATCAGGGAGAAAGGAGGTCTAGGGGTCATCAGGGAAAGACCAGAGAGCAGGGTGGTGGGATTACTGCATTAAGATAGTTGCTGTGTGGCCCACTTTAGTCAGCCAGACTAAACCCCCAGAGAGAAAGAGAAAAGCCTCAGGAGATGCCAGATTGGTAAGCAGCCTTTGTACATTAATTGTTGTGCTGAACTTTGCCTTAACCTGTTTGGGGAAACTACTACCTATGGCAAAGCTTTCTTAAAGGGGACATCCTTGCCATCTTACTGACAATTGTTTTGGGACTGTCACGTACTTTGGTTGGAGGCCGAGTGGACAAGAGGGCTTCCCTTGCAGCTCTGTTCTGAGCACCTCTGAATGTGGTGACAGAGGTACAAGGTTTAAATAAGCATGGGTGCCTGTAGCTTGATAGCAGGTGACTGCCATAGTCAGGGACGTAGTCAAGGTGAGCCAGGGTCATACAAGATGAGACAGCAGCTTGGTCAGGAAACAGGCGGGGGGTCATTACCAGGCAGTGGAGTCCCTAGAGGGGTGCGGTGGGTGCGGGTCGCACTGGGTGACACCATCACAGGGGGTGCAGGAGCAGGATGCTGGCACAATGACAGCTGCCCCCGCCCTGGTGTAGCGGTAAAATGGGTATCCCCTGAAGCAACTGCTCATGTGCCGGTTTCAGGCCGAAGAAGCCGATCGCCGGCTCTGTGCTAAAGTCGGAGATTGGCTTTTTTTGGCCTGAAACCGGCACATGCGCAGTTGCTTCAGGGGATACATATCTTCAAGTGATACTCATTTTACCGCTACACTGGCACCGCTCCTTCCTCTCTGGAGGGGTGACACCACATGTTGCTGCATTGGGTGACACCAACCCTAGGGACGCCTCTGGTACCAGGGAAGCAGGCAGAGCAAGGTCCAGTAGCAAGCTGAGGTCAGCACCAGGGAAGCAGGCAGAGAGTAGTCAAAGGCAAGCCGAGGTCATAATCCAGAATCCACAGTGCAAGGTTAGGAACAAGCTGGGATAGCAATGGAAGATCAGTCAGCAAAAGCAGAAAAACAGGAACACGGAACATGGGGAGCTGAAGAACATCCAGCGATTAACACACAGCAAGATCTCTTTTAAATAGGCAGCTTGGCACTAATGCAAGAGGATGTGTCAGTGCACACTGGATATTAGCCCAAGCTCATCTGTGTGCTGGTACATGTGCACGAGCATTAACTGCATGGAAATGAGAATAAGCTGCACAAGAATTAGCATCAGCTGTATTAGTTTCCTGACAGGGATACTTTGTGCAGATACCTTGTGGATCACAAATACACTTCTCTGGAAGGTTGAGTGCTCCACCTTGAGTTTAAGGGCCCCGCCATTGACAGAGTTTGTGATAGATTTGCCTACTTGCCAGTGGTGAGTCAGGGTTAAAAGGGGGAACAGTTAGACTCCATTAACATGTCTTATTTCCCTGACTACCTATTGACAATATCTGTTGTTTCATTACTGCTGCAGTGTTCTTCTCCACTTGCTTTCTCACAGGGGGTAAAGAGAACAAACAAGAACCCCATTTATTTTCTTGTGATATTAAATTATGCAGCTGTTTTTGAACTACTCCATTTACTATTATCAAGCCTGCTTAACCGCTTCTTGGCTGCCCTACAGCAGAAATACTGGTACAGGGCGGTACAGGTGCGCAAAATCATGTAATTTTGCATTTCCGGGGTTGGGGGCACGTGCGCCCTACCTGCGCCGCCGGCCATGGCTGTCAATCATCGGGCCCCGGCTGGTAATTACTCACTGGCGCCCAGTGATTGCCAAGGATCTCCGACAGGGAGGAGGACTGTTTTATTTACTAACAGTCCTCCTCCCTGGCAGCTCAGGCACACTGCTGTGGATGGCTGTGCACAGCACAGCCATCCACAGCAGTGTGATTACAGTGAAGCACACACATCCCGCCTCCTAGTAAAACACTTCCTGCACACAGTTAACCCTTTGATCGCCCCCATGTTAACCCCCTTCCTGCCCAGTACCATTAGTACTTATTAGTGCTTTTTTTTTAGCACTGATCACTGTATTGGTGTCACTGGGGATGTCAGTGACACCAAGCCAGTTCCCCCCAATGTCAGGATGTCCACTGCAATCCCGCTATAAGTCATTGATCACCGCCATTAATAGTAAAAATGAAAAAAAAAATTCCAGTACTGCCAATTGTAAACGCTATAACTTTCACGTAAACCAATTAATTTACATGTATTGGGATTTATTTTAGCAAAGACATGTAGCAGAATACATTTACATGGTGTACATTTATGACAAAATTAGGTTTTTTAAATTTTTTACTGGATATGTTTATTAGCAAAAGTCAAAAATATAGTTTTTTTCTCAAAATTGTCAGACTTCTTTTTTTATAGCGCAAAAAATAAAAAATGCACAGGCGATCAAATACCACCAAATGAAAGCTCAATTTGTGGCAAAAAAAGGATGTAAATTTAATTTGGGTGCAGCGTTGCATGACCGTTTTAAAGTAACGCAGAGCCGCAATGCAAAAAAATGGCCTGGTCAAGAAGGGGGGTAAATCCTCAGGAGGGCAAGTGGTTAATCAACTCTTTTCTTCATGACTTATTGCTGGTTTTAATAAAGCCCAATAATCGTCACTGAAATGTCGGTGTATTGCTGGGTCCAATTATAATGCCAGGTATCACTAGAAACAGTAGGAGAACTCAACACTTCTAGCAGCTCTTGCAGGGGTATTTACTGTCTCAACACCTGATGATTTCTAAAGCGTTTTCAACTGTTTTAATAAACTTTTTCTTCAAAATGGAACTAAATTTTGCTGTCTGCGGGTGAGATTACACCATAATGTGCAAGTATGCATAACATACTTGCACATTATAGCACACTTACCTCACAGTTTCTTCGCCTCAATCAGTTACAGTTCCAGACTCCAGTCCATGTAGCTTTCGTTACCAACTTCAACCCCTTCAACTGAAGCTTGTTTCAAGTTCCGTGACGCCTCTTTGGCCATTGGACAGCCATTGATGATGTGTCTTTTGCACATGCCCCAGGTATTACCTCCCAGTACTAGCTATGTTTTTGGAATGCCGATAATGAGTCTGGCAGTACAATGCACAGCAAATGCATTCTAAGGGAAAAATTGGACATTCTAAGGGAACAATTTGGGGAAAGTTTTTCTAACTCCTAGCAAAACATGGAACTTTAGTTCTTCTTTAAAATAGGTTCAGACAAAACATAAGCTCTCTATATTCTGTGTAGAAAAAGTCATATAATGAAAGAGTTTCATGTTTTAAAAAATGAATCTTGTGTCTTGAGGTTTATGTACAGTATACTGTGTCTATGAGACTGTCAGAGTAATTAAGGTGCATTTTGTCAGTGCAAAGACTGTGGCATAAAACCAAATGAGTGTCGCACGCCACTGACAATGGTGCTCAAAATATAAAATGTATAAAGTGTATGAACATACATATGTGAGAGATAATTATATCTAATTAAATAGAATAAAATAAAATATATTAAAATAAAATGAAATAAAATATTGGTCCAACATCAATTGAAAAGTGACAGTGCAAATGTCTTTAAGTAATCCGTGATTCTAATATATCTTCCAGTGGTGTAATACGGGATAAATATTGTGCGGTCCACCAATCTTAAACTGTGTACACCTTCACCAGTTATGCTCTCTCCTGGCATATATGACCAAACCGTTAAGTGAGGTTGGAATCAGAGATGAACAGATGGATATATCCCTAATCCCTGGATGGACAGATGGATTTTTCCCTTTTCCCAGTAGGGGGTCTCGCCGCTTCCCAGGGACCTTTTCCTGGAGGTGGATGGGTGGATGGAGTTATTCCTCTTCCCACTAGGGGGTCTCTTCACTTCCTTAGGATTCTTGCTCCATATGTATAGGTGCCATGTAATGTAAGAATAGGACATAGTGCCTTATCTTCTTTTTTAAAAAATGTATTAAACAAATATAGTGCACTCACATAGATAACAAGTTAAAATCACTTTTGTGTGTAAAATAAAGGATCCTCATTGTATTTTCCAAACTCCAAAATACTTGCTGTGTGCTGCCTTTAAACGTTGTGACATCAGAGCCCCTCCCCTACGCGTTACGCCATGTGGCTTCATCAGGGAGAAAAAAAAATCTGGTGAAGGTGTACACAGTTTAAGATTGGTGGACCGCACAATATTTATCCCGTATTACACCACTGGAAGATATATTAGAATCACGGATTACTTAAAGACATTCGCACTGTCACTTTTCAATTGATGTTGGACTAATACTTTATTTCATTTTATTTTAATATATTTTATTTTATTTTGTTTTATTATATTTCATTAGATATAATGTTTTCTCACATATGTATGTTCATACACCTTATACATTTTATATTTTGAGCACCATTGTCAGTGGAGCACGACACTCATTTGGTTTTATTTGCTGTGACACACTAGTATGAGTATGTATATAGTATAGGCGACCCACAAATATTAATCACTTGAATTATATTTGATCAATTATTTAATAATTGCTTTCACATAATCACGTTTATATATTTCTATTCACATTGTGTATACACCATAGTAGCTCACAATATTTCACATTTTAAAAGATTGTGGCATAGTGTGCTCAGTTTATTATAACTGTGCCTTCTTATACCACTGTCAATATTCAATGTGATGTAGCCACAATTGTTTTCGCCATGGCATGCCTCTTCTGCATATAAGGTGTTTCTTTTTTTTCAAGTAGGAAGAAACGTTTTTTGGTAAATGAAAACAATCAACAGTGATAGCAGCAGAGAAACCCAAGATACCAAAGCATGGTAAAAAGTTAATGAGGTGAGTTGGCAACTTTGAATATGAAGACAGGCTAGTTTATATTACATATTAGAATTACAGATACTTGCAAAGTTGTAATATGTTTATATTCCTATCGATGACACATTCCGCTATGGTCTTTTTTGCCTCGTAACACGTCATCCATATACAGATAAAGATTTAAATAACACTTAATTGCTTAAGTCTAAACTAGATATTGCTTTACCTGACAGTAACCTCTACTATTCAGTTGGCAATATATTATAAAGATGCCAAATCTTTCTGTGATTTTCAATATGAAATCTCCAAAGCGTATTTTTAGTTCATTTATCGTTGGATTAAATTGTACAGTGTTTAGTGTTATGGGTCTTTGGTAGGACTGTGGATTGCAGAAGAACAATTGCAGGCTGGCTTGGCAAGTTATATCGCATATACTCTCCAGATCTGTGCAGTCAATGCCAAAGCAAATGAGATTTAGTCGTGGCCTGGTGGATGAATGTACCATCAATAATTGTAAAGCTCTGAGACAAGGTGCATGTAGCATTGTGTTACAGTGAGAACTTCTTGCTGCTATAGAAAGAAAAAAAATATTCTAATATAATTCTATGCTAAACTGAAATCATTACACAATTTATAATTCATTCAAATACTAAACATATCTTGTGTTTAGGCTGTAGCCTGGGTTCACATATATGCGGTGCGGTAAATCGCATGTGATTCGCATAGGAACCGCACCACATTTCATTGCAAATCACATGCGATTTGAGCCCTACATTTTGTATGGCTCACCAAAAAGGTGTAGGACCCTTTTTTGGGTTTGCACTAGCATCACATTGCATGTGTATTCACACCTATGCGATCTGATTCTGCACATCGCACCTCATTTTGCAGACCGCTTTCGGGGTGTTGGTAACTTAACATACACACCCGCAGCGGTTCGCATGAACGGGGTGCAATTCTGATGCGGTTTGGAATTCGCACAGAAAACGCTGCAAATTCCGCACCGCATCAGTGTGAACCCAGGCTTAAAATGGAACTTCACTCTCTCAATCAACATGGACTATTTTGAATTGTTATGCTGCTAGCATTAGTAAATATATAGGAAAGTATATCATATTTACTTGTTTTTTTTTTTTTTTTTACATTTCTTTAGTTACTTCCTTGTTTCCATGCCTAGGCAAATGATGTCATACATCCCAGGAGTCTTAAAGAGGTCAGGAGGGGTTTTCTCAGCTAAGCACACCTTCCTGCCTGTATGCCTGAGCTAAAGGCAGGTGGATTCAAGGAAGTAAATGCTACATGATTCAGCTGCCCGTACTCAAGATGGCCATAGCCAGAAATTCTATGGGGGTGTTTTTCAAAGTGATTTCTCAGCAAAATAAAGCATGGAGACATGGATGGATAGGGGGGGGTTGGCTTTGGACATTATAAATGAATTAACCACTATCCTGATGCCCTATAGTAGAAGTACTGCTACAGGACAACAGGGTTTCGCAAAGTCACGTATATATACGTGATTTGCATCTCCGAGTAGGGGGTGCACGTGTGCCGCCCTACCCATGCCACTATTGGCGGCTAGGGAAGTCAATCATTGGGTCCCACACGGTACTCGACAATTGTTGGGAAAAGCTGACAGGGGAGAGACTTGTGTGTACACAACATAGGTCTCTCTCCTGCAAGCATGGACATGCTGTTTTGTATCTCTCTGCACAGCAGAAGAATACAAAGCAGCATGTTTCCCTAGTAAAACACACACAGCACACAAATTAAAACAGCACACAGTTAACCTTTTGATTGCCCCAGATGTTAACCCCTTCCTGCCCAGTGTGTGCCCGTTACTACAGTGTCATTTCTTTTTATTAGCACTGATCACTGTATTAGTGTCACTGGGGATGTCAGTGGCAGTTAGTCAGTTCCCACCCAGTGTCAGTATTCATGCTGCAGTCCCACAGTCCCGCTATAAATCGCTGATCGCCACCATTACTAGTATAATAAAAAAAAAAATTCCAGTATATATACCGCAATTTGTAGATGCTATAACTTTCACGTAAACCAATTAATATACACTTTGGGTTTTTTTTAGCAAAGACATGTAGCAGAATACATTTTGTCCTAAATATATGAAGAAATTAGATTTTTAAATTTTTTTATTGGATATTTTTTATAGTAATATAGTATAATATATATAATATATACAGTATAGTATAAATATATATATATATTTTCAAAATTGTCTTTTTTTTGTTTATAGTACAAAAAATGAAAAACACTGAGGTGATCAAATACCACCGAAAGAAAGCTCTATTTGTGGGGGAAAAATTTAATTTATGTACAGTGATTCATGATCGCACAATTGTCATAAGTTGAAGTAATGCAGCGCCGTATTGCAAAAAATGGCCTGGTCAGGAAGGGGGAGTAAATCCTCTGGAGGGCAAGTGGTTAAATAGTGCTTTTGGCTTGTGGTGCTCAGATACAGTGTAGTTCTGCTTTAATAGTAATTACAAAACAAGCAACAACTTTGCTACAAGAAACATACTGTATGTTTAACCACTTCAGTCCCTTTTTCTCTCTTTCTTCCCTTAGGTTCCAGAGCTTTTTCTTAATTTAAAGCAAAATTAAACTGAATTTTATTTTTACATACCGGTATGCGTATAATACGTAAATACCGGTAGGTTAAATGAATAATCTTGTGAGATTCTTACAATGAATGGCAGACTGAAGGCCTGAGGGGGGGTCCTAGACACCTTCTCAATGTAGGGAACTTGGTCGCTAGAGAATATATATAATATTTCCATGGCACACCTTCCTAGAAATGGCAAATAATTAAGTGGGTGTTGTAGCAGCTACCATCATAAGCAAGAGTTTATATCACCAGCACACTATGGATCCTAAAAACATTTATTCAAGTGGTCACACCACAGCAGTAAAGTGCAACATTTTGGAGCCATTCAGGCCCCCTTAATCAGGCATGTAATGACAATGGGGTCCTGCTTGACTCTGAAACATTGCACTTTACTGCTGTGATGTGATTGCTTGAATAAATATTCAAACAACAGTTTCAAGATCCATGATGTGCTGGTGATATACTATCGATTGCCAGTGGATAAAAACTCCTTGCTGCTCTTGATTCCTTCACGTGTGTTTGTCTGTGCTCACCTGTCACAGCAGCAAGGAGTTTTTATCATCATTTGAACTTCAGCCCTATCATTTCTTGGAGGTAGCTGATACCATACCCAATTACAGCTCTCTAAACTTACAGACCCATCACTGCAGGATGGATTACTATACCCTGAGTGGTTATCTGTATACCCAGAGAGTAACATCAGGTTTTTTAAAGGGGGAGCCCTAGAGGACGAGGACCACCTGTACCAACCCCATAGCATCTAATCTGATGACCCACCATCCCTGAGAGGGAAGACCATCCAGCCATTTCCTATTTGATGACATCTGGATTAATAATATAAGGCACAATTTTTATGTGTGTCCGGTGAGTGTGCATTACCTTTACCACTACTGCACTAATACTGGGTCCAGAGTCACCAGAGCACGAGAGTCACTTTATTTTATATATTGTTTACATCAGAACTTTTTAATTATACTCATCATCTGATTTTAGATGGGATATTTACTGATTTCATTTAGTAATTGATTTTACAGAGACATTTGGATATCATATTTATTTCAGCGCTGCACTTTCTTGTATTCTATTTATGTTCTAGGGTGATATTGGTTACCTTTTTCTGCATAGCAGCTCTTCTGGTCTATATTCAAGGAGCTCGCACTTTTTGTTTATATATTTCTGTAACCTAAAAGCATAGGCTTAGTGCATATTTACTGTTTTGCCAAACATACATTGAGCATTTACAGCACACAGGTATTCTTTGGTTCCTAGCAATGAAATTTGAATTGGGGTTGAAGATGATTTTGACCCAAATTTAAAATTTTTGTGAAATTGGTTGTGGTCGAATTCGGCACCCATCCATTTGGACCCTAAAACTAGCTTAAGAAAACTCTTTAAAAAAACTACCATATACAGTATATACACACACACAAAATTCATATTCTGAGGGTAGCATTGCTAAAGTAAAAGAAAAGCATTCTTAAGGAGATATACACTACTGTACAAAGGTTTTAGGCAGGTGTGAAAAAATGTTGCAAATTAAGAATGCTTTCACAAATACTGTAGAAGGGTTAAAAGTTTATTTTGATTAACCACTTCATGTCCGGACACTTTTACCCCCTTCCTGTCCAGGCCAATTTTCAGCTTTCAGTGCTGTCACACTTTGAATGACAATTGTGCGGTCATGCAACACTGTACCCATATGAATTTTTTAGCATTTTTTTTGAGACAGATAAAACTTTATTTTGGTGGTATTTATTCACCACTGGGATTTTTATTTTTTTTTTGCTATATAAATGAAAAAGTCCAAAAATTTTGAAAAAAAATAGTTTTTCTTATAAAATTTTGCAAATAAATAATCTTT